AATACAAAATCTAACCTATACTACTATACATTCACACAACGTTCCTGGTTTTAGCGCGACTACGTCGCGCAGCTAGCTAGTGTTTATTTTGTTCGGACTGATCCAAAAATTCCGTGATTTGATTGGTTAGCTATATCGGATAATCTCGTGATGTACGAATCTTAAATTATATATATATATATATTTCAATTTTTTATTAAGCAAATCAATTTCCATTTATGATCAAAAGATGTAGCCTGTCTCGAAATTTATTCGAATCTTGCAAAAAAATTTTGATTTCCGGGGAGTTTGGGCCCTTTCTACTGCAACGGCCCCATATATGTATTATTTATCAAACTAAAACTAAGATCTATAATGTATAGTAAATATGGTGATGCGGTCTAATTGATAGTATAGTCCAAAGGCGGTAACATATACCATGTTTTTGGTAAAGTAAAATAGTTAAAAGATGGGTTAGAATTACTTTAGCTTTAAAAAAAACTTCGCTATTGTTATTAATAAATTTATTTCGCGTATCGAAAAAATTTTATTTAATTGGTCAGTCACGCATGGATCTACATAAATTAGCCAATCACATAAATGTTATAACCCATAAAAATACGAGTTTTTTCTATGCTCGTAAACTTCATTTAAGACTACAAAGCTATATATATTTTCTTGTAATTTCTTAAAAATTTGATTTTACATGATTTGCATTATAACTTTCATACGTTGAAGACTTGTAATTTGCCCAGCTATTATTCAAATGTATAATAAAAATTATTAAAAATTAGTATAATACTGCTAGGGCTGTTAATGGAATAATCCAACGTGTGAAGCATACTCTGCAAAGCATGAAAAACACACTATGCCAGAATGCTAAATTTTATATTATATAGTAAAATATTTTATTAAATTTCAATGTATATTTTAATAATTAGAACAATTTTATTTAATGCAATAATGTTAATTGACTTAATAAATTTTATTTTTAATATATAACAATTAGAAATAAAGTATTTGATTTTTAATCCATAGTCTTAGCAGTGACTCTAGAGCATAAACTATCCTGTTTTATATTTACAATAATCGGAAGTGATGTAATATCTAAACCACACTAGCATGCTTATTCCGGAATGTAATACTTTCATATTCTTGTGAAATAGTATTCAGAGTTAAGTGAATAGAGTCACTAATCGTTTGGTGCTGTCACAGTATCACTATATATTGTCGAAAAATATAAATGCACTATAATACCCGATCTCCCTTAAATTTATTAATACTGTTAGAACAGCTGTTAAGACATACAAAGAATTGGTTATCTCATATATAAATAAAATAATGCTCTTGTTCTTTTTTCTTTTGTCAAAGAGCAAAAATATTTAAAGCATTTTCGTATGAGCAAATAGACTCTAAATTCATTTTATAATAGCCTTGCACTTATCTATCCATTCTGAAACATTATAAATGATGTCGTCCGTCTGCTGTAACACACTTTCAAGCCATTCAATGTCTGCTTTTTCATGTTCTGCTTTTTCAGTCGTCGACAATAATTCCAGAGCATCCTTTACATATCCATAATAATCGGACCTAAGAAAAAAAATTGGGTTAATTTTTTACAGATAAAATAAATTCACTATCGTTGCTAAACTAGTATAACAAACTTTAGTTCGTCCTCTAGGTTTATGCAAGAATCTATCGTTTCTTCATCGATAGTCTTATTCTGCAGTATTTTTTTTAATTTATTTTTGATTGAATCCATTTCATTTTCCATTTTCTCAAGCTTTACGATTAAATCAACTGTATAACCCTTCAAAAGCATAATATACTTGCGCACTATCTCTTTTCCCTTTAGCTCTATAGCAGCTTTCCAGTGCGAAGCATTATTACAAAAATTAGACATATCATTGTAAATCTTATGGTAAATCTTATCCAAAGTCTTATTTCTAGGATATTTGCGGCTTCGATTAAGTGCTGAACGATACCAATTTTGTATTTTTTTGGCCTTTTCATTAGAATCAGGGGAATCTATAATTTTTTGAAACCAAGCTTGAATTTCTGCGGCTGATTCTGAGTTATCTTCAGAGACTTCATTCTTTTTATCATCCTTAACTTCATTACAACTAAAAGAAGTGTCCGCTGCAGCTTTTCCTTCAATAGCTACTGGAGATACGATTTTCCAAAGAGAAGACCTGAATTCTTCACCAGAATTATATTTGAGTATTTTAGCCCCA